GCTTGCCCTTGTTATACTGGGCATTCGTTTTTCTAAAGATCTCAGCTGCAGTTATGCGAAACTCATTCCGCATTTTTGAACGTTTAGCAAAAATTAAGAAGTGGGCTTTGGGACCTAAGACTCCTAGTTAGAGGACCCCAGCTTCCCCTCAGGTGGCTGCTTATTTGGGGGAGTTTGGACTTTTAATAAAAACTGCAACTGTTCTGATCCCATGAATATTGATAATTAATAATTAATCCAGCTGCACAACTTCAAGATGAATTGCTAAAATCTCAGGCCGGACCTGTCCTGAAGATTAAGGTTTTGAGCTGCCATTAGGTGGCTGCTAATCACCCTCCCCGACTGTGTACGTGTTTTTAATTTGGTATTTAAATACACTGGGTGCTGCTGTTGCGCTTGCAGATCCCCAGCCCCGGCACTGCAATGTCAGAGATAGAAAAGTGGCATTCAAAACTGCCACAAGCCCAACGGTAACTCCAGTCAGTTTTTGTTACTGATGACTTACTCTTCATCATCAGCACTTGCCTTCCCTTTGCGAACTGCTTCTGTTAGCCTCTTACCAGCCCAGAGTGTATTGACTGATGCGGGAGGGTGTCAAGTTAACCGAATTCTACTAGATTTACTCTGCTGTTGTTTGTTTTTTCTGGAACACAAAAAGCTGTCAACTCTGTTCGTTTCTTACAGCGTTTTTGGCAAAGCACAATTCTTACTCCTGGAGCCTTGTAAAGGGATATTTTTAGGCATGCAAAGTGACATTTTAGGCACTGCATAGTCGTTCTTTAGTTTAATTTGGAAGATAGCTGGCCCTTAAAACCTGTGCAATAAATGATGAATCAAACAACTTTACCAATACCCAGAAGTTAAATAGTCATTGATCCCAGGAAGACGTAGAATCCATAATACAGTGTGTTTGGGAAATAGATTTTGTTTCCTGAAGACGAAGGTTAGGCTACCAGTGCTTGTGTTTAGAAAAACGCTTTGCCATTTCACCATGTTGAAAGGTTTAATCCCTACAAAAAGTAACGACAGTTTAGTAACGAAATCAAAATAATACATCTCCCCAAATTCCCACTGAGTTCTGGGTGCGTCAGGGATGTTGAATCGGCCTTAAATGTTAAAGAAGAAAGGTGGAGCATTACAATACCCTACCACTTCCCCTTTATATGTGTCCTTTCAATTATTACTCGATCAGTTTGTTCATCTCATTTCTTATTCTTTACCAACAGTTGGGTTGTAAATATGAAATCAGTCACTTGTATTGGCCTGGACTATTAATCGAGAATGGTAATATTTCAGCCTCACAGATGAGCTGTTCAAAAGCGACAGGCAATGGACTTTAGTCTGACAAAAAACACAATTAGCGATTTACAGAAATGTCTGGTGATAAAGGTGAGCAGCAGCGTTCTGCATAGCTCTGTGGGTGATCTACACGAACAATACAATATAGGGAGATAGACAGACCATTTCGATGTGATAAAATGCTGAACCAAAGAGTGATTTCTCCCCTCAAAGTGTAATCGGATTGATAGCAATTAGTCCAGCATCTTGTTTTAGTCTCTGTTTACTCTGAGGTTTTCCCAAGTATAAATTTATTAGGACTGCAGGATTTTACCAACTGCTGTGGTAACAAGCTGTCTGGGTAGCAATTATACCGAGGTGGTGGTATTTAGGGTACACATTTATAATCCTAATTATAAAGCTGACTACTAAAGTAAAAACGTTTCGGCTGTATGGGAAACCAACTCGTTTTTAAAATACTTCACGAAGGCTATGTTTCAGGCAGACATTATGAAGGAGGCTTAGAAGGATTTAATTATTTTTTCCCCGTTGATTTGCTAGCACCAAACTTTTTTCAGCTTGAGGATAGGCTTCACAATGCATCTGGATACCATCACACCCAGGCACAACTTTAGCTAGGGCTGTCCCGCTACTCCCCAGTGATTTTCCAAACAAGTAAATATTTGTGAGTCTGTGCATGGAAGAGCATATCTCTAATCCGTGTTCAGAACCACGCAAATAAATAGACAGGCTATCTAGGAACAGGTGTTATGTACAATTACAGTGGGCTTTTGTGTCCCATACTTCTAAAGGGTATAAAACCGAGCACAGTACTGGTTGAGAATCGTAATAATCTTTTTCACTAAGAGAGGATTTAGACACACGCACACACACCCGTTGGAGCTTGTGTGTGTGTGTGTGTTATACACACAAAACACCAAACCCAGTAAATAGAGAGGAGACAAAGCTAAGCGTTTTCAGCCTGCGCTTTTATCTCTTGTGGGACATGCAGCTATCAAAGCCCAATGTAAACATTCTGAGCTCATTTATGTAGAGCACGTTTAACAGAATGGGACAGATTAAGATCCCTTACATCACTGTGGAACCGGAATAAAGATAGTGAAGACAATTGAATTACTCCAAATGTCCACCGGTGTAACCGAGATCAGAATCTGACGCCCATGTAAACAGAGTGGAGTCCATCCCTCCTATGTTCCAGATGTGAATACACTCATGCACGGCATTTATCTAGCAATGAACATCCTCAACTGCACACTCTTGTTGCTTAATAGTTGACATATCTGCAGCTGTCTGGAATAAATTACTCAGTCTGGCTAGCCAGTTCCCTTCAGTTTGACTATAGACATTACTTAATTATTGCTTATTAATCACACCTCTCCTAGATCTCTGATAACGGTCACCATCCCCTCTCTGTCCAAGAACCCAAACCCGCTTCGAATGATCACTTACATAGCCAGGGCTGAAAAGATGAGCACGGGGGAGAGAGCTGATTGCCAAAGGAGTCCATGTGGGGATAGACCATTGCCCCTTCTTCCAGCACCAATCCGCAGCTACTTTATGAAAATGAACTTTACGCATCGCAACCAAAAAGGATATAAAACAGGCGCTAGGAAATGGGCAATTAAAACCGACAGAGCCACTAAAGCAAAAAAGAGCAGAGAGGCTTAGACTTGTCAGCTTGCACGGTCATTAGCTGGTTGCTTCAAACATCACCACTGCCTGAAGAGTTTACACATCTAATAAACGCCGGCAAAGGTATCTGATTGTATTTTTGGGGTTAGTTGAGTCCCAGCTACGCTTCCTGCCATATTTGTGCCCCCATCAGATACCCTGAGTGAGAAATATCGTGAGCAGCAGCTGCAGGCGCTCAGGGAAGAGAAGCCTCCACTAATATCTGTAACGACATCAGCAATGTGATTTGTTTTGAATGTTCATTTTTATTGGTGTGCTCCCTTTGCCAAAATGTGCTTGATTACATAGATTTGGTTCTGTGATAACTGCGCACCCTAGACAATCTAGGTGTAACCGAGAAAGTTCAGCTCAGGCCAGATCAAATCCCAGGCTGTTTAATGCTGAAAGGCTGCATGTTGCTATTAGTGTTAAATATATGGCTAATTATGCGTATGAAAATTAAACATCAGTGTTATGCTAATGGGGCCGCCTTCAGCTGTGGATCAGAGCACTTGAGACTAGCATTTAATCAAATGAATCAGTAACTAATACATCTGCACGTGTGAACTTTCACAAGATCATTTTCCTGTTACAGCCACACGCCACTAAATTATGAAAGAAATAATTATCAACACTTTCTAATTATCTAACAAAGTAATTTGGGATTCAGCGTAGGCTTTCTGTACAGGATCTCCAAAGTCACACCTTGTCACCACGCACGTACACGGAAGTTTTCATCCCAGGTTGGGTTTCAATGCACAATTTAGATACTTTAGGGAGGGAAAAATTGAAAAGGTCCAGCTCAGGTGATAGCAAAAACTGAACAATAATTTATGAGATGGTATAAATCAGTGTGGTGGATATTAGTGATATTTGTGTGTAGGTACAAAATGCAGGCATGCATGTGTGTGTGTGTGTGTATATATATAATGCAAAGAAGCATGCACTGTGTCTATGGATATGCGACTATATGTGTGTATGCATTCACATATATAGAGAGACAATTGTGTGGTCTAAGCTGCAATTAGCATACTGTTGGTGTTAGTGTGTGTGTGTGTGTGTGTGTGTGTGTGTATACACACACACACACACAGTATGCTAATTGCAGCTTAGACCACACAATTGTCTATAGGTACTAGCTCCTTTATGCTGAAGTAGAAATCAGTGGGTGGCAAGAGGCCTTTAACAAGATCCATTGGATCTAGTCTTGCTGGGAGGAGACACGCAGGGCCACCTTTCCCAGAGCCCTCGTCACCCCGTGTGTTTCAGGAAGGACCGGCACTGTCCTGCCTGAGGAGCAAAGCAGCAGAGGTTGGTGTGATAACCCTCAGGGCCTCGTGCCAGGGAAGGGGGAGGAGGGAGAGATCTGTGGGGAGTTGCTGTGTCTCCTGCGTTCCTTCATTGCCTGACTGCCTCCTTTGCTGTTTCTCTCCATCTAAAGCAGACGAGGCGCTTCGCGCGCTTGTTTACCAATCGGTTCTGGACGCAGCGAATCACAGGGCGTCCGAGCTGAGGAGTGGGCTCGGGGGGGGGGGTGCACTGGAGGATGTGAAGCCCCCTGGCTGGCAGGCTCCTCGCCTGGAGTAACTTTGGGCCGCCCGCCCCTGGCTTGTAAATCTCTCTTTCGCCGCCTTCATTGTGTTCTCCGGCGTTGTCTGTTCCAGATGATCACACACAGGGGACGGGGGACTCTCAGCTCACCAAGTCCGGCTCGTCTCACTCACTAGGGTCCAGGCGAGCCCCAAGCGCCTTTGACCAATCCAAAGCGATTATGCAAGACGGCGGACCAATCAGCTCCGCCAGCTCATGAATATTCATAGGCTTGGCTGAGTCAAAGCTTTTAGGCGAGTTTGTGTAGATCTACGGCATCATGCTTAGACTTTTCAAAGAGACAAACTCCATTTTCTTATGAATGGAAAGTGAAAAGCCCTGTTCCGCTTAAATTGGGTTCTTTCCTGTCCTGAGAAACACAACAGACCCCAAAAAGGCACGCTGAAGAGAGAACACACACACAGACCAAGCGACAAGAAATGACCATGACTACCATGCCAGAGAGTCTTAATAGCCCTGTCTCAGGGAAGGCTGTCTTTATGGAGTTTGGGCCACCCAGCCAGCAAATGTCTCCTTCTCCCATGTCCCACGGACACTATTCCATGCACTGTTTACACTCGGCTGGTCACTCTCAGCCTGACAGCTCGTACAGCACAGCTTCGTCCTTCTCCAGACCGCTGGGCTACCCCTATGTCAACTCGGTCAGCAGCCACTCGTCTAACCCCTACATCAGTTCAGTGCAATCCTACCCCAACAGCTCCAGCCTGACTCAGACTCGGTTAGAGGAGACAGGTAGGTGCACTTGGCTTTGGGGAGGGGGGAGGAGTGGGGGAGGGGAAGGAGGGAGGGAGGTTGCTTGTATCAAAATATATCTATAAAAATAAAATAAAAATAATTAGTCAGAAAAGGCTGAGGCTCAGCGAGGATCAGTACACAGAGCACACAATGCCCGGCTGGAAAAAAATCAACCCAGATGTGCACGTATTAGTCTTCGTAATTATTTATTGCGTAGCGCTATAAACAATGTATGCAATTAAGGGTAATTAAACCTAAACTGCAGCCTGTAAAAATAGCAAACTTTCTCTGGGAAGGAGCCTGGACTGCCATAATCGCCTGGAGCCTTTGTTAGCTCGACTTGTTCTTCACTTTTCTTTTCTTCCTTCTCATTATTGTTATTGTTGATGCTGCTTCTGTTGTTACTCCTATTTATTGTGCATCGTTTGTGGTTGTAGGGGCCGACTCGGAGAAAAGCACTGTGGTAGAAGGAGGGGAAGTTCGCTTTAATGGGAAAGGGAAAAAAATCCGCAAGCCCCGGACTATTTATTCCAGTTTGCAGTTGCAGGCTTTGAACAGGAGATTCCAGCAAACTCAGTACTTGGCTCTGCCCGAGAGAGCCGAGCTCGCAGCCTCGCTGGGACTCACCCAGACACAGGTACAGCAGCCGCTGCTCCCTCCTCCCCTTCACACAGCCCGTCTCATCGCTTTGCTTTTTCCTCTCTCCCCCCTTCTGCCTCCCTTGCACCGAGCGGCCCTGCACTGGACCGCGAGCCGCCTCAGTCCGGCTTGTGGAAAGCCTGTGCCCAGGTTCTGTCTGGGGGCTTTGGGGCCAGACATGGCCGGACTGCTGGAACAATAGAGCTAATAACTCAGACTTCCACACCCCAAATCTACCAGCATCGCCCTCCTCTTCCTCCCCGCCAGCCTCCGGCCTGCTTTTATTTGTGTATTCACTGTAAATGCTTCGCCCCAGCGTTTCTAAATTGATCCTCGCGGCATTTTTGAAACGGGAGACACGACGTTTCCTATAGCTGAGGGTAGGTTTTGCCAGCTGTGGGCGCCTGGCCGTGTGGGGTCGGTTCAGTGTTACCTCACTAGGCTAGTTTGGAGCAATAACAATAAAGCAAAGTTGCCTGCTCCGGGAGAAGAGATCGAACAAAACAAAATACGGTTTCACCCGCCCCGCTAGCAAAGGCAGGGGAAAGGAGACCCTGGAAATCAGCCTGCTTGGAACGAACAGCTCACCCGGAGGAGACCGAGACCAGGAGACTCGAGTTCATTTCCAAAAGGGACGATTTGTTTATTGATTGTATTACTGTTCCTTCCAAACCCAGGTTTAAACTGTAACTCCAATGTATGTTGCTGCCCACGTGCACCCATTTCCTGGGAGGGGAAAGGGGGAAATGGGCGCTGCTAATCCCTAAATCTTTGCTTTGACAGCAAAATGCCGTGAGAGTGTGAAAAGATTTCCTGCTGAAAAGGCAGTTTGATTGGAAATTTCAAAGCCTGATCCCGGCCGTCCTAGGCGAGTGTATTTCGGTCCTTCGGCCAGGTATTAGGGGTTTATTTGTATCAGTAAAACTTCTCGTATTGAGATTAGGAGTCAGGGCTAGCTAAGAACTTTCCATTATTCTGCAATAGAGGCGCTGGCAAGTCTCTGTGCTGAGCACATTGTCTCCAGACTTTTACACAAAGCCCTATGAACCAGCCCGTCTCCCTCTGCCCTTCTTCCCATTCAGTAATGTCTTTATTGTGTTCCAGGTGAAGATCTGGTTCCAGAACAAGCGATCTAAATTCAAGAAGCTAATGAAGCAGGGAGGGGCAGCTTTGGAAAGCAGCGCTCTGGCGAATGGCAGGGCGCTCTCGGCCAGTTCGCCCCCAGTCCCCCCAGTGTGGAACACCACCTCGTCATCGGGTAAGACCTCTACGGGGACCCCGGGCACTTACATACCCAGCTACACATCGTGGTACCCTTCAGCCCACCAAGAAGCTATGCAGCAACCTCAGCTGATGTGATTACAAACCAGTTTCCTCATTTCAAGCACTATCGGTCCAGAATAATAAATAAGTCCAATCAATAAACAGAGGAAAGAAAGAGAGGGGGGAAATAAAAAGAACAAACAATCGAGAAAGAGGTCTCTTGCCCATAGAGCCATTAACACTGCACCATAGCGTGGTGCAGACAAGCACAGATGTGATGCGGGGCTGGTTCCCAACTGCTGACAGCTGACAGAGCAGCCATTAGATCATCCGGAGAACAGCCTGGGAGCAGAGAGAAAATCCGACCCTCAGCTTTGTGGGACAATCAGAAAAATATGTTTGTAGAGGAAAAAAGCTCTCCTCTGTCCTGTCTGTCTGTCTGTGTCTAGCTGATGAAATGTAGGTCATTTATTTACTACCCCACTCCTCTTTAACAGCAATGCGAAAACAACCTGTACTATAGCCAGATATTTTTCTTTGCATTTTCCTGTACCCTTCACGACTCGTCTGTGTACATTTTTATTGTTGTTGTTAAAGGGAGAGATGGGGATTTAATTTATTGACTTAAATTACCACTGTAAGAGTGCTAGAAACACATGGACTATCTGGTTTGCAAAGGGCACTGTTTCAATGCACAGTTTACTTTAAACAAAATAAAACAAAAACAGCAAAAAGAAGGATGTGATTTTTAACTTTTACAATAACTTTTATACTTTGCTGGTGTGGAGAGGTTTGTTCCGAGTGGTCTGCATTTTTCACATCTCTAGTGTTATTTAACAAAGAAAAGAAATTCACATTATTTAATATGGAAGTGGAATCACGGCAGCTGTTGATCGCTTTACGTAATGTAAAGAGAGGGAAAGGAAGAAAATAGTTCCCTATACTCAGCAGTTGGAAAGAGATGGGAGGGAAGAAGAGATGCCAATTGGCTCTAACGTGACACAGTTCAGCTTTAAACGAAATCTCGAGGCTTTACCACAGAATGCCAATCTGAAGTCTACATGCGCTACTGAAGTGCAGGATCTGATCGCTGTACATATTTTATTCTTAATTATTATTATTATTGTTCTGTAAACATGTTGCACAAATTTAGCCTTTTTTCCGTTCCGTTTTGTGTGGCTGTAAAACATGATGCTTTGTGACCTGAGATCTTGACATTTGACTTGTGAAGTTCGGAAGATGTGATAAACTGAGATCAGTTGTGTTTAGTGTTCTATATGTCAAAGTTTAGTTTTATATTGAGAATGTTAACTTATTGCTTTGTATCTGGGGAAAAACACAAATCTTTGTACATAAGTTATAAAGTTTCTTTGAGACAGTAAAATTATGGTTTGGAAAAAGAGCCGCTGCATGTGTGCTGTTTATCGCCTGCGTATTTTCTCACCTGCAGCGTTTGTAGCAGACTCAAGAGCACTGGGGATGGGAAAACTGCAATCCGATCTGAAGGGACATTGACATACACTATCAGCTGAGGTTTCACACTCTTTCCTCAGCAAGGGAAAGTGCAAGCCTCTTTCAAGCCTGGGAATTAGGCCTTGGCCAAGGGACCTGCGGCCTCTTCTATAAATCTGAGCGTCGTGGAGATCAATCCACGTGGGAGACTTTCCAGAGAGAGAGATTTTAACCGCGCGAATAAATCAAGAGATCTCATTGATAGATCTCTATCGGCATCTAAATAAGTGGCTCGGTGTGTTCCACAGATGGGATGTGTGTGTGTGAGAGAGAGAGAGAGTGTGTGTGTGTGTGTGTGTGTGTGTATAAATATACACGATATGATATAAGTGATATATATGTAAAATCCCGTCGGACATTTCACACAGGCCTTTCGATTTCAAAACGATCCTGTCTGTGGGAGATGAGACAAATCCGTGCGGACTCCTTTGGGTTTTATCTTCGCTTCATTGCAACTCGCCAGCAGTCACTGGTTGTTTTGTTGTGGTTGTTGTTTTGATAGGGAGAAAATAGGCCTCCAGAGCTCAGTGGGGAATGTTACTAACATCAGCTTTGGCTACATGTTTATTCCCAATTCTCCGGCCCGAAACTCCTCTTTAACTGATTTCTGCCCCCTCTTACCCCATCGTCCCCCTGTCTCTGTTTTGATGCATCCTTTGTCCTGTTCGTTGCAAACGGAGGTGCTGCGGGCTTCCCCTTGCTGCCTCTCTTGGATTAGGCGCAATCTTTTCCCGTAGGCTGAAGAGCGGGGGAAGCAATGGTGTGTTTTAAGTAAATGGTTAGAAGCAGCAGCAGGTGCTTCAGGAAAAGGCCGCGTTTTGGAGGAAAGAAAGTTAAAGTGGAGCTCAGGTTAAAAAAAGGGGGCTGACAAGTTCAAAGGGGCCTGGGCTGGATGCTGGGGTCTGAGCGAGCACCTTGAGTGGCAGCCCCCTCTGGGCTTTAAAAGGAGACCAAAGTGCTCGCTGCTCTCTAACCACACAACGTGTGTTTACACCAGGCGTCAAAACCGGAGCGCCGGCCTAGCAGAGGGCGAGCTGCGTCCGAAGCGAGCCGGTGTCCCAAGCGGCCCGGGGCTTTGCTTTCGCCGTTCACTGGACCGACACGTTGTAAGGCGAGGCTGGGAGCGTCAGGACATCAGCTGGTACAGAGAGTTCCAGCTCTAGAACCCTGTGCCTCCCTTCAGCGCCAAGTTAGGGGCTGCCGGGGTGGTGGGGGTGGCGTGGGAGCCGCCGCTGCCCGGCTAGAAGGGAGAAAGGCTGAGTGGGGGAGAAAGGGAAATATTCCCTGTAGCCCCCCCGGTGTGTGAGTGGGCGCTGGAGGCTGGATCATTTGTTCAAGCGGGTGCCTGGTTTTGGGTGCCCTACTAAAGCGGGGCACAGGCCTAGCTTTAAAGACCCCAAGCAGAGTTTATCCCGCTGCAAATTATGCACTACAGGCTTTGTAGGCTTCGAAAATGTCTCCCCGTGTTAATGGAGCTGCAATGCGCGTTGCCAGCTTTACCTTTTTTCTGGGGCGGGGGCAGGTTGGTGTGTGTGTGGTGCGGGGGGACGCCGACTCCGGGACAAGGATTTGGCAAGTGATTATTATGCAGAGGAGCTTTTCCCTTCCTCCCCATGTTGGATCTGAGCAGTGCTGACACGCAGCTTGTGTGGGCCGGTGGAGATTTGCTGTCCCTGAAAACTCACTTGGTCAGGGCAGGAAATGAAGGAGCATGTTTCTGAGCAAGCTGCCAGCAATCACGGGGATGCTCCGAAGGATACAGTTTGCCCTCAAACCCCCCAACCTTAAGCAAAACAATCGCCGCAGGAAATTTGCAAGCTAATAAGACAATCAAATAGATATAAAATAGGGGAGTCCTGTCACAAATGAAACTCAATGGAGATGTGGTGGGAAAGGGGCTCGAGCCAGTTACATGGTTCTGTAGCTCACAGTAACTAGTTGTTGGCAAAATTTAATTTTCTGACTAAAGTAATCTAATAATTTAAAGAGTTATTAAGACTGAGGTTTGGGTTTAGATATGCCAATTTATGAAAGTAGCTTTGCAAAGATCAGATGACCACAGCTGTAATTTTGGTTAAAGCTTTATAAATCAAAACAGAATTGTCACATGGTAGATTTGATCTAGGAAGCCGCTGCATCTGCTTTTTATTCCGATTGCAATGTGGGGATCTGCATGCAGTTTCCATACTGGGGGGAATCCCTCCCGGGAGGTTGTGTGGAGGAAGGTAATGATAAATTGTATCGATTTTTGTTGTGACACGCACCCATTTTTCAATTCTTGGTGATGAGTGATCAAATGATGCGGTCATGTCTAATGTACGTTCAAAAGATAAGACACGGGGTGCAGTTACTGGTAAACATAGGATTGGAGCAGGAGACTAAAGGGGAGAGAGAAGGGAGATCCGCTGCATTTTGAGTTCATAGGGAATGAAGGATTCTGCCTGGAGAAATACTGGAGAAACACTCTGTATTTCCTGCAATGTCACCGGCTAAAATGTGAGCACTAAGCAACTAACAGCACCTATCTGAACAATAATTGTCTGACTCAGTAGCTACATTATTTACAGATAATAATGCAAATTTCACACTCCCCAGCCTAATGCAGTCAGAGACCAAACGCCTTTGACCGAACAGAAACGGTGTGGTCAAGCATATTGGAACACTTTAAGATATATTAGCTTCTACTAATTCAATAACGTCTTGCTAACAGTTCAAATAGAGAAATTATTAGTTTTCTCTCAACTAGGCGGTCTTGAGTTAGAGTCTATTATAATTGTACATTTGAAAATGTTAATCTCAATACAGACCTAATTAATTCTGCCTTGTTGCTGACAAGTAGTTCATCAAATATCTGATTCGAAGATTTTCATAATGAGGATATTAATTAAACTATGAATAATCCAAAGGTGCTTATATTGAAACAATACCTCATTACAATGATTAAATACTGATTTCGAATATTATACCTTTACCAATTGTCACCCTGCAAACACAACCGTATGGATGGGTCTGTAAATGGCAAAATGCAATTTTGGGACATTTTTTTTTCTTGTCGGAAAAAAATGTGGCCCTCATTTTCAAACACTTCTGAAATAGGCTACACACCGCTTAATGATGATCAAAATGACTCTTTTCTGCTAAAAAAGACCCCAAAGTGTGCGTACAGCTGCAAACCCAAGAGGGTCAGCATCATTTCACTGTATTCTCTTCTTGATTACAAGCCGAGCCCATCAAACACAACATAATTACAGTAATTTCAGGTTTATTTATTCTAATGCAGTTTCCCCATCTCTCTGGTAATTATGAGCAATTTTTTCGCCCAGGGAATCTTTTTGCATTAACAAAAGAGATAACGCACTGAAAGCCAAATTTGCTGTGCATTGAGAAAAGGGAAGGAAAAAAAATAAAATAGGTGCGAGCTGCCATCTCTGCAATTCTCCTATATTGGAGCTCTGCAAATTGCTTGCAGGTGTATGGAGCAAGACTGTCAATAGGAAGGGGCTTCCAAATTAGCAAATGCACAATGTCGAAGTAATGAAGACAGACTTAGCAAAATTGCCAAACAACAGATATCTCTTTAATAT